TACTGCTTCTCTGGAATCACTCTTGAGAAGAGTGATATATTTCAGCATTTAAAGGAATGTCCCACATGGACAAGTTAAATGAACTGAAGTGTTTTATTCTTGAGCAAAGACAAGGGGACCTGATAGTAGTATTCTAGATCCACAAAGGCAGAATAAACAGTGAAACCAACAGGTGGAAACTACACAGTAGTGCATTTAAAACTGAAAATGGGAAGCATTATTTTATACAGAGGGCTGTGGGAGTGTGAAACAAGCTACCTAGCCAGGTGGTCAAAGTCAATGCCATGGCTTTTTGCAAGAAAGGACTGGATGAGACGCTCGGATCAATGAGCTACTGACCAAATGCAAATGGCCACTTCAACAGAGCAAGAAAACGTATACAGAAGGACAGGCCAAAACTGCAAGAGGGTAGCAACATCTTTGTAAGGATCCAGCCAATGTTTCTCATACTCATCATCGTGGGACGAATCTCTGCTGGGATTTGAGTGGACCTGGGACTTTTCCCACCTCCTAGAGGGGTTTTGAAAAACTGAAATCTTATGCGTATTAGATGTCTGTGTATTCCCTGGACTGCTGGGAACTCGTGCCCAAGCTCATGTCGGGGGGGGGGAAAAGGCAGGGATGAGATATTATGTCTGGGGTTAAAACTGGAGACACTAACAACCACATTTAGTTTGGGGCACTTAATTGTCAAAGGTCTGAAAGTAGTTCTGGAGTTAATTACTAAAGCAAGACATCCTCAAGTTATTTAAATGTCCATAGGGAATTTAACTTAATTCCTGTCAGAGTTTTTCTAACCAGCATCCTGTTTTGGGAAATGGAGGGATGAGCCGGCCAGACCAATCTGTGACAATCACTGTAGAGTGCTGTTTTAATCTCACAGCATCCCTGAATTTCTGCTGCAGTGAAACACCTGGACTGACTGGTAATTTCTCTGGAGATCTTAAGTATTTAATTTTCATTGGCCTCATCCAAGAAAACCTTGGGAGAAATGTAGGCAAAAACCCAGGTTCCCGTTGCTCTTGATATTCTGAAAAAACACCTTGAAAGAACCCCCACACTTCTGCTGCAAATGTGTTAAAGAAAAGCTGCAGCGATTGTCAGGAACATGTCTAAAGCTCCAGCCTGCATTTAAGCAGCCCTCCAAAAGTAAGAGCTCCTGGTTCTAATTCTCCCTGGACGCTGAAGAGCTCACCTGTGCCTAACCTCAGTCTAGGGACAATATGCATCAGTGGGGTGAATTAAATCAGGAGTGCACTAATGAGCTTGGCTGAAGAGTGCTTGTGGTCAAGACAAGTAATTAGAACAAGCTGGGTTGACTTATCTGGATTACTGTCAAACTAAACCTTAAAGCAAAATCATCTCGCGGGAGATTTAGTCATGGGAATGCATCTTGCTGGCTGTTTTCTCAACACAGAAACATTTTTGTGCAGACTTACACAATTTTTGTAACCATGCAGATCACCTGTGCTAATGTGCAGTTTGTGAGGAATCCACAGCCTGCAGGCAACACCCAAGAGGCTAGAGGACAGATCTCGCCACACCCTTCCAAGAAAAAAAGTAAATGCAACATGACAAAATGCTGTTTCAGCACCACAAGCTGCGAAGCCCATCAGAAGAAAAGTGCATCTGTGGTCCACATTAAAAGCCTCATTTGCCCTTAAGTGTTAAGTGTAATACTTGTTTGGGGCAGAGCGGTGGCTCTGTGGCTAAGGATCTGCGCCTGTGGCTAGAAGGTTCCCGGTTCAAATCCCGCAGCCAGCAGAGGAATCCTACTCTGTTGGGCCCCTGAGCAAGGCCCTTAACCCCAACTGCTTCATGGGCGCTGTACAATGGCAGACCCTGCGCTCTGACTATGCGAAAAGACAATTCCTAATGCAAGAAATTGTAAAGGGTTAATAAAGTGATGTTGTTATTATTATTATTACTATACTTAGCGTCACAGGTAAAGAGACAAATATCACCTCTTTATCAGCTGATACCTTTGGAGTTTTCCCAAGAGGATTTTGTTCCCTTTTAAAATACTCTAGCTGGTCTGCTGATTAAGAGGAGCTGTAGTTAAGGGCTTTGTATTTAATGACGCACATCAGTCCTGTTTTCAGAAACATCTTCTCCCCAATAGCGGCAATCCCCCTCTTTTGCAGGCCCATTTTAAAAGTCTGCAGCATAGACATATCTGAGCAGTTCAAAATAGCTCTCTGTAAAGAACAGCATTTTAAACCCAATACTGGCTTCAATTCTGTAGCTTCTCTGCCTCATAACATGAAATGCTGGAGTCACTTTTCCATACACACAGTGCTTTCAGAATGGGGATGTGGTTGAGCTCTCCGGTGATCCTTCTGGAAGAACGATCAAGGGGGGAAAAAAAGCGCAAGTGCCGTAGCTTATTACTTTTCTGCACATTCCTGAACTCGCAGCACAGCTGTGACTAACCGCCCATGATGTTACAGGGAACGGACAAGGCTACACACTGGCATGGTTTTTCCATAAGGCATCCGAGGCCAGGCCAGCAAGTCAGCCACGCCTCTGTACCGATGAGAATACATCTTAAAAACAGACTTCCATTGACTGAATAATACTGTCCAGGCTCCGGATGATAAGCTATTAGAATTAACTTGAAAGACCTTAAATATCATTAAGAATGAAGCATCTATAGATATGTATACAGCTGAACATTTTAGCATAGCAATTGGAGGGAAGTTCCTTAGCTCAAGGTGCTCGCCTGGGATTTTAACCCACAACCTTTCAGTTCTAGACAAAGAGCCCCAACTACTCCTCCCCACTGCTGCCTCCTGAACACATCTCCATTGTAATACCCATACCAGTACATGGGCAAGAATAATGTCACAGTTAAAGAGCAACTGAAGAGAGTACGCAGAGTCTGAATGACAAGTGTACATCACAATAGGGAGGTGTCACCGAGCGCCAATTATAAACACAAATTGACAATCATTTAAAGAAAATGTAAAAATGAACTGAAACCAGCACTTCTAAAAAAAAATCTTCAAAGAAGATGTTACAAGTGTACTTTTAAATATGGTATACCCCACATAATATGGCTATTAGAATGACAGATTTCTGATCAAAGCAGAAATACACTTAAATACACTCAGATGCACTGTTTCATGATGAATGGGACATGTGAACTATAAATCTTAACTGGATAAAGTAACCGCATGATGCATGACTTTTAAAGCACATGGTGCACGTTTATGGGTAAGTACTTACTACAAACTACAAAAAAACACCTCTGTGCCAAACCAGCATACAGTCTAACAAACAGATGTTTTTACAATCTAAATGTACTACAGCATAAAATCTTAAAGAAAGCTCTTTTCACAAAACCAAATTTAAAACTTGGATTATCACGGTTTGGCTGGATTCTGGAGACACCTGAGGACCTTACAGCAGGCGAATCAAGAGGATATACTGGAGTCGGGGGCATTCAAAGGTGGGCACCAGAGTGGCATTATTTTTTTTATTTGTATGACAAAAATAGTAACAAAGATGTATTTTTGAATGATATACACAGAACATAGCCAGGACAGGCTTTCTAAAAAAAACTGTCATGACAATTTGGATCACAGATTGCACGGTGGTCGGCCCTGCTGTGTGTGTGTGTGTGTGTGTTTCTCTCTGCCCTGTGATGGACTGGCGCCTATTGCTTGCCAGGACAGGCTCCCCACAACCCTGAATATGAAGCAGTGGTTAGAAAAGGCTTGGATGTATGGATGCATTCAAAAGATGCTTTTGTGAGAAAAGGTGCACCACCTCTTCAATCAAGTCAAACAAGCGATGTATTCAATCATGCACGACCATGTACTGCATATACTCCATGACTCGAGGAATGCAGATAAACACGTTAGATATACATTTTCACTTTATGTCGGACCTTTTGTATTGTTTTTTTGTTCACATTGGTGAGGAGCACCCCCTCTTTAAAAACCTCAGGGGGGTTTCCCAGTTTGCAGCAGAAAAGCTCTCTGACAGGTGTAACAATACTACACACAGACAGTGAACAGAATCGCATGAAAGACAAACACCGCCAAACTCACACTAAACCTGTTGGGAAAAAAAAACATAAAAGAGAGCAAAAGTCTCAGGTCTCAGGGTCTGAGGGTTGTTGCTTCTCAAGTGGTGGTTGCGTGGAATCTAAATTATAAATGCTAAAACACGCAGCATTCAAGAGGCGTCCCAAGAGGGAGGGTCTTGGGCCATTAAGCGAACGATCAACACCACAGGAAAATGGACCGTGCCGATCGTTATCCTTAAGTTCCCCAATAATTATTTACATGTCACAGTGCATCATCGATCACTCCTGCACAACAGGTGCAAGATGTCCAGTTATTGCAACAGGAACAACACAGACCTGCCGGAGGACAGGGCCTCCTTCTTCACAACTGGAGTTAAAGCACAGGTTAGGGCAGAGGAGCAAATCTCCGTCCCTCAAGGGCTGCCGACCAGCAGGTTGTATAGGTCTCTCGAAACCTACACTTTCTCGAGAACACAGAAGCGATCCAACTTGTCTCGTTAGGCAGGCAATGAGGTAATTAAGGGCTCAGAAAGAAGGCAATCCAGACGTCCCGTGACCCTCCAGGACTGGAGCTGTGCACCCCTGATTTAGGACGTTACTGTACCTCTCCCAATCCTATATCACTCCCGTCTCAAACCTAACACAGTTATTCCCTCCCAGTCCTGCAGGGGGCGCTGTGTCTTCTGGGTTTCATGCCACTGCAGACTCTTAATGGCTTGACTGGAATCACCTGTTCACTGGTGATCCATACGACTACCGTTTCCAGGTTGGCGCTCACTGGGGATTTCAGTCCTATAAAACCGGGGCAACTGCGGCCCTCCAGGACCAGCAGAGAAGATCCCCATTAAGGCAGCCATGTTAAAACTCCCACAAGCGCACCCGTGGAATACCAGGAACGTTCTCGCCTGCCTAAACGCGGCTCCCCCCGGCGCGGCGCTACATTAAAGGCCGAGGCCGCTGTCCTTACCAGCACGTCCTTGCAGATCTCCTTCAGCTCCTCCTCGATCTTCTCCCGGTACTCCTTGGCCATCTGCTGCTTCTTGTCGCTGCCCTCGGTCTTCTGCTCGATGCTGGAGACCACCCGCCAGGAGGAGCGCCGGGCGCCCACCACGTTCTTGTAGGCCACGGACAGCAGGTTCCTCTCCTCGTTGGACAGCTCGCCGCCCTGCTCGGTCACCGCCTTCATGGAGGCGGCCATGTCGTCGTAGCGCTCGGCCTGCTCCGCCAGCTTGGCCTTCTGCACCAGCTCGCTCTTGTCCATGGCTGCTTGCGGCTGCGGGGGGAGAAGGCAGGAAAGAGAGACGGAGGCCGTCACTAAGGGCAGCTCCCTGGACTCGCCCTGCGCTCGCACCGTTGAGGCGTTCGGTCATAGCCCCGCAACCGGGAGCTTCGCGACACTGGCTCCTCCGCCAAGCGCCGACGCCGAACATCCGGACCTGCGGTTCCTCTCGTACTGAGCAGGATCACTGGTGCGACACCACCTCATCGGCAGGGTAAAACTGACCTGCCTCGCGACGGTCCAACCCCAGATCCCGTTCCCTGCTAGCGGGTGAGCGATCACCCTTCGGCTACACACTGCAATAGTGCCGCTCCCCACCCACTGCCCTGAAGAGCAATGCTGGCCATTTTATTTATTTTTCATTCAAAGACACGCACACTTTAAGAGGCATGCACCGCGCACTCCATAACCCACATCTGTGGCTGTCATACCCTCATCGCCACCGTTGGGGTGGTACCACACCCCAAAACTATAGATGACACCAAAATTCATTTTTGTCCACGTTGCGGATTATTCATCATGTTACATGCAGGCTGTCTGTGTAATAGCTGACGGCGGTGTGCAAAGTCACTTACAGTGCAGGAGTGCCCAGATAAAGCCGCTGCCTGCTCCGTTCAGTTAGACCAGCTCCTGAATTATTTACGTGCCTGGCAATCAGTTCAGCTCCATTACTAAGAAGCTGGATGCAACACAGCCGTATCGCCCCGAAACGGACTGGACGTCCTGCAAGCAGGAAACCCCCGAGAGCACGGGCACACACATCACCTGGCCAACAGGCAATAAAACCCGAAGAGTTTCTATGGACTTCCAGTAGATCAGAACAGGCCACTAACAAATCAAAAGCTCTTACTTTGTTTCAGATGTGAAATTTGAGAACAGTGTAGCACGGCTATTTGTCTGAGGTGTCCACGGAAGATGTCGGCAGGAGGCCTGCACAAAACACTGAAGTTTTGTCAAAGGGCTCGCTCGCCTATTCATTCCCCTTACTTCCATTACGAAACTCCTAGTCACCCCACCGAGAACGTCCAACTCACCAGACGACATTCTGACTAGGTGATGAAGCACGTGGAAAGCAGCAAGAGGCGGGGGCTAAACGGGTTTTAAAGGAATGGGGCTTAAAGGAACTTGGTGTTAAAGGGAAGCTACTGCACTGACAGGCCGAGAAAACTTGACCTTTTAAGTCTCGGGACAGGGAAAACAACGAGGAGGACCCGATTCAAGTATTCAGAAACCTCAGAGGCCTTCCTCAGAACGAACACTCGAACACGAACCAGAGGCCAGGTGGAAACGACATGGATGTGCACTTAAAACCAGGGAACAAGGGGGGACTCCTCTACCCAAAGGGTTGTGGGAGTGTGGAGCAGCCCATCCAGCCAGCCATGTTGTTAAATACGACACCCTGATTCATTAAAAAAAAAAGCTGGATAACATACTTGGATCAATTAACTATTAACTAGCGTACACAGGCTAGATGAGCCAAAAAGCCTTCTTGTATTTGTAATTGTGTTTTGGCAAAGCGCCCAGTCTCCACTAATCTTGATGGTGTCATAATGAACCACACCTACATTAACTCAGTTTAACTATAAAACCAAATAAATCCTGGTTTTCATCATTGGGGCATCTTAAAACTACAATACAAGTCAGTAAGCACTTTTCCATACAAACTCCAAACCCACCACAAGTGGATAACAGTGCAGTTTCTGCAAAGGGCTTAAAAAACATCTTACCACACACAGCGCACTGGATGTGAAAGGCTTACAAATCACGATGCATCGGGTCTCGGGAACGGGTAAAATCGACGAGTTAAAAGCTTTCCACTTGCAAGACTGGGGAAGATACTATTGCCAATAGGAAATGAAAAACAAAAAAATGACAGCTATTATCCGTCATTATATGAAATGACACACGGCAGATGTGCAAGATGAGCCCCGTTCATCTGCTGTTCCGCAGGTAATATCAGGAAAAATCCGTGGAAACCCCAAATACCTCACGCAGGGGCGTGTGCACTGGCAGCAGCATTTGAATAAAACGCACGCAAACAAACACACGCTGCAAATTCCGCGCCTGGAACCCACCGGGCTCAGGCCAAGCGGGGGCTTTGGTGTGACTGACGGGAGGCCTCCATCCCGCAGCTTGAACCCACGGCTGCTGACGCACCCTGGCAACTGTCATGGCGGCTAGCTGGACGCGACATATCACACACGTCCAAAAAACAACAACAACAACAACAGCCACCGACGTTGACGATAACCCCTCACAAAAATCAACGCTGTGCTTTTTTTTCTCCCCCTAAAACAAAAAAAGCGGTGTTTCATGATTTAAAGCCCGGAGTGAGGAGACTCTGAAGCCCGGCGGTGTCTTGTCAGAAACCCAGCCCCCGAGTCTGAAGAGTACGTTAGACAACACCGACCACACACACACACACCCATGTCGCATCCGCGGCGGAAATCTCCTCTCTCACACGTGTCGACGAGGGAGAGGAGAAAAACGCGGGGCTTCTCTTTTAAAAACCGGGTTTCGGGGGTGCGAAAACGCTCCCCTGTTCAGCCCCCTCGAGACGTCCCGTCCCGCCCCGCCCAGCCCGCGTGGACGGTGGCGGCGGGGGGTGTGGAGGCGCACGCGAGCTGATCACGGGAACGACTCTCCCACGGGCTCGGGTGGGCAGGGCTGAGGAGACGCGACCGTGGCCGCCACACCTGTCGCCACATGGCGAACCGATCCCGGCCGGGAGAAGCCGAACGCGCTGTCGCCCTCCGTGAAGTAGACGCGCGTAACCTTTTGTAAAAAAATAAACTTTCCGTCTACCTTTTCAATACAGGTCTTCCGACAGCAAAAGGGGAAAAAAAAAACATCCAAGACAGCCTGTTACCTCAAGCTCACTGTGGAAAGAACTCACACGGGAGACGACGGGACAAGCACAGGCCCACGGGCCCTGAAGGCTTCTGCCTGTACGGGGGGGGG